AACAGAAGCAAACATTGACAAATGGCATCTAATTAAAGAGCTTCTGCACAGCAAAAGAAATTAGCATCAGAATGAACAATCTACAGAATGGAAGCACATTTTTGCAGTCTATCCATCTGACAAAGGTTAGATGCAGAGTCTACAAAGAACTTAAACAAATCTACAAGAATAAAACAACCCCATTGGAAGGTGAGCAAAGAACAAGAATAAACACTTCTCAAAAGAAGACATTTATGTGGCCAACAAACATGAAAAAACATTCAACATTAGTTATCATTAAAGAAATGCAAATCAGGCCAGGCGCGGTGGCTCAAGCCTGTAATCCCAGCACTTTGGGAGGCTGAGGCGGGCCGATCATGAGGTCAAGAGATCGAGACCGTCCTGGCCAACATGGTGAAACCCCGTCTCTACTAAAAATACAAAAAAAAAAAAAAAAAAAATGAGCTAGGCGTGGTGGAGTGTGCCTATAGTCCCAGTTACCTGGGAGGCTGAGGCAGGAGAATTGCTTGAACCTGGAGGTGGAGGTTACAGTGAGCCAAGATCGCACCACTACATTCCAGCCTGGCACCTGGCGACAGAGCGAGACTCTGTCTCAAAAAAAAAAAAGAAATGTAAATCAGAATCACAATGAGATACCATGTCACGCCAGTCAGAATGGTGATTATTAAAAAGTCAAGAAACAACAGTGTTGGGGAGGCTATGGAGAAGCACACATGCTTTTACACTTTTGGTGGGAATATAAATTAATTCAACCATTGTGAAAGCCAGTATGTGACTCCTCAAGATCTAGAACCAGGTATACTATTGGACCCACGAATCCCATTAGTGGATATATACCAAAAATATATAAATCATTCTATTATAACGATACATGGTTGTGTATCTTCATTGAGCACAATTCACCATAGCCAAGATATGGAATCAACCCCCATCTATGATAGACTGGATAAAGAAAATGTGGTACACATGCACGATGGAATACTATGCAGCCATAAAAAGGAACAACATCAGGTGCAGCAAACTACCACAGTGCATGTTTACTTATGTAACAAACCTGCACATCCAGCACTTTCAGTGGGAATGTAAATTAATTCAACCATTGTGAAAGCCAGTATGGTGACTCCTCAAGATCTAGAACCAGATATACTACTGGACCCAACAATCCCATTAGTGGACATATACCAAAAGAATATAAATCGTTCTATTATAACGATACATGGATGTGTATCTTCACTGCAGCACAATTCACAATAGCAAAGACGTGGAATCAACTCAAATGCCCATCTACAATGGACTGGGTAAAGAAAATGTGGTGCTGGGCATGGTGGCTCATGCCTGTAATCCCAGCACTTTGGAAGGCTGAGGTAGGTGGATCACGAGGTCAGGAGTTCAAGACCAGCCTTACCAACAAGGTGAAACCCCATCTCCATTAAAAATGCAAAAATTGGCCAGGCACAGTGGCTCACGCCAGTAATCCCAGCACTTTGGGAGGTTGAGGCGGCTGGATCACGAGGTCAAGAGATCAAGACCATCCTGGCCAACACGGTGAAAGCCCATCTCTACTAAAAATACAAAAATTAGCTGGGCGTGCTGGCACACACCTATAGTCCCAGGTACTCAGGAGGGTGAGGCAGGAGAATTGCTTAAACCCAGGAGGCGGAGGTTGCAGTGAGCCAAGATCATACCATTGCACTCCAGCCTTGGTGACAGAGTGAGACTCCATCTCAAAAAAAATAAAAAAAATAAAGAAAATAAAAGGAACTCTGCTTGATTATCCTCTCTATAGCAAAACAATTTTTCAATAATCCCTGAAAAAAATGCCTTCATGAGAGAGCCAGGCATCATGGCTCACATCCGTAATGACAACTATGTGGCACAGTCAGGTTGGAGAATTTCTGCAGGCCAGGATTTCAAGACCAGCCCAGGCAATAAACAAGACCCCATCTCCAAAGTAAGTGCCTTTAGGAGACCTTTGAGATTTAGGGAGGGAATTGTGAAACTCTGCTAAAGCCGAAAATTGAGGAGTGTTTTTTTTCAGAGGACAGGACCTCATTCCGGTGGGAAACTACCTGATCTTAGCTACAGAACAAGAAATGGCCCAACCAACTTGGTCCCACTGAGAATTCTGAAGTTAACCCTGTAATTATTACAACCGCCTCCCTGTTACAGTTTGAGAGAGGTCCTGCCCTACCAGAGATGTGGAGGAAGATACCCATTTACAGCCACACAGTTTTTACTGTGGCCCCTCAAGCAGTTCAGTAACTCAGTTCCAGATCTCTGAGCCAAATTTCATTACCACTTTTGCCTAAACAGAAATTCACACAGTGACTTGAGACCACTCTGTGTACTCACTCAGTGAAAGCCATACCCATTCACCTGCTGATATAAGGGCCATTATATATGGACCCAACCGCAGAAACCTGTCCTACAGATCAAAGTCCTGAAGGATAAAATCTGTCCAAAAATAAAATGGAAATTACAATTACCCAAACCCTTTGTAACAAGCCAACTAAAGGTGGACCCTAGTGCAGACGCAGCAGCCTGTGACCAAGCTACAAACCCTCCACTACAAACCCAGAGGGCATCCCATCACTCTAGGCACACAACAGAAAATGATCTTTGCCTCCTGAAACCAGTTTATAAAATCGTAAGGAGTTGTTGCTCCTTCAAATTCAGACACCAATATGAAAACATATTGTGCCCACCGTCAATGCTTCTATTTTAATGTGGAATTGAAAGTGTGTGGCACAAGAATTACTCAAAAACATTTTTAAAAAGCCATTGGAATTGAAAAGAAATCAGTAAAAATTGCTGTTTGTGGATCATATGATCTTATATATAAAAAACCATGAACAAACATTAAAATTTGTCTAAACTAATAAATACAGTCAGTAACTTAACAAAATATAAAATTAACATAGAAGTTATGATTCCATACACTTAGCACAAGATATCTGATACAATAAAGAAAACAATCTTATTTATAATAGCATTAAAATAATAAATTTCTGAGAACAAATTTAACCGAGAAGATGAACAATCTTTGCAATGAAATATATAAGCTATTAATGAAAGAAATTAGAGAAGACAAAAATTTAAAAATATTTTATGTTGGCTGAGTATGGTGGCTCATACTTGTAATCCCAGCACTATGGGAGGCTGAGGCAGGTGGATCATGAAGTCTGGAGATAGAGACCATCCTTGACAACATGGTGAAACCCTGTCTCTACTAAAAATACAAAAATTAGCCAGGCATGGTGACACATGCTTGTAATCCCTGCTACTTGGGAGGCTGAGGTAGGATACTCATTTTAACTCAAGAAGTGGAGGTTGCAGTGAGCCAAGATCGCACCATTGCCCTAAAACCTGAGTGACACAGTGAGAATATGTCTCAAATAAAAAAAATTATGTCTGTGGATTGAAAGAATAAATATTGCTGGGTGTGGTGGCTCACTCCTGTAATCTCAGCCCTTTGGGAGGCTGAGGCTGGCATATCACCTGAGGTCATGAGTTCCAGACCAGCACAACCAACAGAAGAAACCGTCTCTAGTAAAAATACAAAATTAGCCAGGAGTGGTGGTGCATGCCTGTAATCCCAGCTATTATTGAGGCTGAGGCAGGAGAATTGCTTGAACCCAGGAGATGGAACTTGCAGTCACCTGTACTGCACCATTGCACTACAGCCTGCGAAATAAGTGAAACTCCATCTCAAACAAAAACAAACAAAAAACAACAAAAAAAGGAAGAATAAATATTGTTAAAGTGCCATATTATAAGTATTCTACACATTCAATAAACTTCCTGTCCAAATTCCACTGGCATTTTTTTCACGGTAATAGAAAATACAATTCTAAAATTTATAAGAAACTACAATAAACTTAAATAGCCAAAGCATTCTTGAGAAAAAAAGAACAAAGCAGAGGAACATCATAGTTTACCATTATTTTTTTATTTTATTTTATTGAGACGACGTTTTGCTCTTTTTGCCCAGGCTAGAGGGCAATGGCACCATCTTGGCTCACTGCAACCTCTGCCCTCCAGGTTCAAGCGATTCTCCTGCCTCAGCCTCGCAATTAGCTGGGACTACAGGCACGCCACCACACCTGGATAATTTTTGCATTTTTAGTAGAGAGGGGGTTTCACCTTGTTAGTCAGAACCACCCTCCTTGTCCTCCCAAAGTGCTGGGATCACAACCATAAGCCACCATGCCCAGCATAATTTTCAATTTCAAACTATATTTTAAGACTATAGTAATATAGTTGGCTGGGCGCGGTGGCTCACGCCTGTAATCCCAGCACTTTGGGAGGCTGAGGTGGGTGGATCACTAGGTCAAGAGATCGAGACCATCCTGGCCAACATGCTGAAACCCTGTCTCTACTAAATTAAAAAAAAAAAAAATTAGCCGGGCATGGTGGCACATGCCTGTAATCCCAGCTACTTGGGAGGCTGAGACAGGAGAATCGTTTGAACCCAGGAGGCGGAGGTTGCAGTGAGCCGAGAATGCGCCATTGCACTCCAGCCTGGGCAACAAGAGCAAAACTCTGTCTCAAAAAAAAGACTATATGAAATATGCAGAAAAATTAACAAAGACTCCTCTAATGCAACAGAAATCACTACTCTCACACATTCCAGACATGATGCAAAAAGAGAACTAATAGTTTAACATAGAGGTTTTCCAAAATTATGCAAATATTTGTGTGTCCCCCAAAAACAATTAAAAAGCAGTCAGATTGTATGGTCTCTAATATGCCATGAAGAGGACTTTGGCTCTCACTGGAAATGAAGGAAGGTCACCCAAGGAAAAGTAGAATTTTTAGAGAATTTAAAAGCGTAAGACAAAAGATGCCTCCACATGAGAGAAAAATTTAAGAAAATACTCAGGCTTCCCAAAAACTATTTGCTTTTCAGCATACCTTCCCAAATCAAGTTGTAAGAACTGGCTTTTTTTTAACCTTTGGACCTCTCATCTGTGATGTCTATTATATTCACTTTCACCTACCATTGGGTCTGGCCACCATCTCATGTGTCTTCACATTACAGGGCTCTTTTCCTTGCACCAGACAGGTGATTGGGTTTTCCTTACAGACAGTAATACCTGCTTTATTAAAAATAAATAACATGTATCATTCTTCTATTCTCTAATTACTAACCTAGTACTGTGCTCAGTAAAAAGTATTTAATAGCATATTCTAGAAAATTAATCCCCAAATACTAATTAATGAGAGACATCTCTAAATATTTGGAAATATTTTAAATTTGTAAGTCCTTAATTTAGTACCTAGTACTTATGAATTAAAAACTGATGGCAGTAAATAGAGTTTAAAATATGGGCAATGATATTTTATGCCACTAAATTTCAGGAATTACCATTAATCTAGAGTAAAAAATACAGGGCAGCTGAGGAATGTGGAAAGTTCAGGTCAAGATCAAACATGTTGAATAAATTCTTTTCTACATAAACAAATTCATCAAGATTTTCTTAAAACAAATCAGAAAATCATTTATACAAAGTATAAATTACCAAAATAAAAAATTCTACAGAAAAAGAGACATAAATTTTAGGATATATTAATAATTGTGTATTAAAGTTATTCTCACCCAAGAAGACCAGGTTTCTGTAGTTCTCTAACATCACATTTCTATACAAATCCTGCTGAGCAGGGTTCAGGCACTGCCACTCCTCCAGAGAGAATTCTATGGCCACATCCCTAAAAGTCAGTGTCTCCTGAAAAACACACATGCACACATATATTTAACAAGTGGCCATGGGAAGAATTTCTTATTTGAGTTAAGGTGAAATGACAGCGTAAAGACAATTGGTTCTGACTTACAAAAATAACAAATTATCCAATAATTTTCAATGCAGAAATATTCTCTAATGTATTCTCTTCCTTTGAGGGCAGAGGAAGGCATAAGATACAGATCACCAGTGCCTATCTGATACTCTTCTGGATGATAAACTGTGGGTGGGAGACCCTATAAGTATGAGGAAGGAGTCAGAAGCCTCAACCTGTTCCCATATAAATAATGAAGAAAATAACTAGAGATATAACTATAGTAGTTATTCCTACGTGATCTTAGTTATTCACAGGTTATCTTAGATATTCATAGGTAACCATTAAGATACATATACATATACTCAGCATAATCTTTTACTAAAGCCTCTCAGGTCAAAGTATGAACCTAAGGTGACACTGTGAAAGAAGTGACCCTAACGCAAGATACTCTAAGCCCTCTGTCATGCCCACGTAAGGGCTGCTGGAGGGTGCCTTGGCTGTGCAGCAGCACCAGCACTGGGAAAGGGCCCGCTGTTTAGCCAGCTGTGGAAGGGGATATTTACGATGTCTCCTTCCCCAGAGGAGCTAGGAGAAAACTCGGTGCCCCCAACCTCTTGTGGTATGTGACATCTGGGGACTTAATTGTCTCTATGTGATGCTGTGCTTCAGTGGTCATATTCCATGTCCACTTTCATCTTCCGCTTCTGCACCTGGTCTTTCTTTTTCTTAGAAGATATTAGTAATACTAACATAAATCTCAAGGTCTTTATTCTTTCTTGACAAGTATGAAAAAAGTGTTGGCGTATTATGCTTCTTACCTCATCTTGGCTACTTGAAAGTTCTGGGCCGCCATTCCTATGGCACATAATGTACTTGACCCTACCACTGACAACCATGACCTCACCCTACCTACCCTGCCCCCTGCTTTTTATTCAATAAAAGTCAGAGTGCCCAGGCACTCGGGGCCACTGCCGGACTCCGTGCTTTGGCTGGCAGTGGACCCCTGGACCCAAACTCTGTTATCTCTTTCTCAGTGTCTTGTGTCTTTTATTTCCACAGTTTCTCATCTCCACACCTGTAGAGAGGGGCTCACAGAACCCTGTAAGGGCTGGACCCTATAATAAAAGATATAATTAAGGACATAAACACAAATGTATACATTTTTTAGTGTTATATTTACATCATGATGAGTTGTGTATATTTTCAGACAAAGAAAACATGATGAGTTGTAAGGTAACTCTCAAATTTAAATGTACAATAAACTAGAGATCCTGTCATGACAATTGTTTTTTTTCCCAGAAGATTTGGAATAAAGTGTTCGTTTTTAAAATTCTAACAAGGTCACTAGTAATGCCAGTGTTTTTGACCCAAGAAGACTATTTTGTCAAAAATTCAGTAAGTAAAAGAGACTGTTTTCCCCTATTTTTCTGGCCTGTAAACAAAGACAAGAGCCGGCCAGGCAAGGTGGCTCCTGCATGTAATCCCAGCACTTTGGGAGGCTGAGGTACTCAGATGACGAGGTCAAGAGATCAAGACCATCTTGGCTAACATGATGAAACCCCGTCTCTACTAAAAATACAAAAATTAGCTGGATGTGGTGGCACAAGCCTGTAGTCCCAGCTACTCGGGAAGCTGAGGCAGGAGAACTGCATGAACCCAGGAGGCAGAGGTTGCAGTGAGCCAAGATCATGCCACTGTACTCCAGCCTGGTGACAGAGCAAGACTCTGTCTCAAAGAAAAAAAAAAATCTTCATTTTCCAAAGACAGATAGGTGAAAAAAATAAAAATAAAAAAAAAACCTAAGAAAAAATGGCAGGTGCCAGATTAAATGTGATGGTTTATGCACATTAGCTGCATAAATATACTTGACAATGAAAAGAAAAATAATTAACTCTATAGTTTAAAAAAAGAGCTCTTTAAGCAAGTAAAGTATTCACATCAACTACTAAGAACAATTTCTCATGATGTGCTATTGCACACGGAAAAACAGCATCACTGCTGAGATACTGCCCCTCAAAAAGTCAATTATAGACTGAATTTAACCATAAAGAAAAATTAGTTTAAGCAAAGGTGAAGATATCTTCCATGTTATATACTTTTTAACCATGATTTTAAGTAATCTTTCTTTGGCACCCTAAAGAGCAGGTATCTCTCAATAATTTTTTTCAGAACTTCCTGGGTAACAAATGCCATCCCGTTTAAATAAGCATTTTCTTAATCCTGTTCTGCACAGTGCTACCGGAGAACACAGATGAAACCTCAACATTCTATGTTCTCCATCTTTACTAATGACCTCAGCTTTCCCCCAATAGGAATCATGAGGATCCACATCTTCCCATTTTCAACAGCAACAAAAGGAAGACTTTTTTTTTTTGAGACCGAGTTTCACTCTTGTTACCCAGGCTGGAGTGCAATGGCGTGATCTCACCTCACCACAACCTCCGCTTCCTGGGTTCAGGCAATTCTCCTGCCTCAGCCTCCTGAGTAGCTGGGATTACAGGCGCGCACCACTATGCCCAGCTAATTTTTTGTATTTTTAGCAGAGACGGGGTTTCACCATGTTGACCAGGATGATCTCGATCTCTTAACCTCGTGATCCACCCGCCTCAGCCTCCCAAAGTGCTGGGATTACAGGCGTGAGCCACCGTGCCCAGCTTCACAGATGTTCTTAAATGCAAGCTTATGATAACTTTAGGAATTGTGACATTAGAAGAGAGAATAAATTTTAGTATTTATGGGAACTGAAATGTTCATGACTATCAAACAGAATAGGAATTAACTGAAGGGACTGAACTAACAGAAGACTGAGTAATATTTTTGACTTTGCATAAAACATCACTGATCCTTTGGTTTGTTTTTTACAGTCAAGAAACTGGGCCAGGCGCTGTGGCGCACGCCTGTCATTCCAGCACTTTGGGAGGCTGAGGCAGATGGGTCACCTGAGGTCGGGAGTTTGAAACCAGCCTGACCAACATGGAGAAACCCTGTCTCTAATAAAAGTACAAAATTAGCCAGGCTTGGTGGCACATGCCTGTATTCTCAGATACTGGGAAGGCTGAGGCAAAAGAATTGCATGAACCCAGGAGGCAAAGGTTGCGGTGAGCTGAGATTGCATCATTGCACTCTAGCCTAGGCAACAAGAGCAAAACTCCATCTCAAAAAAAAAAAAAAAGAAAAGAAAACTAAATAGTAAGGCAAAAATATCATCACCACTATTCAGCATGAAATAGTTACAGTAAATGGATCTTCATCCCTTTACAATCCTTAGGACTAATGGTGTCCTTGTAGAAAAAAAAAAAAGAGGCGGGAGATGTCAGAGGTAGATGGAACCAGAGCACATCTATTTTGAATAGGGGCTGGGTAAAATTGGGCTGAGATTAGTGGGCTGCATTCCTGGATAGTTAGGCATTCTACGCAACAGGATAGGATAAAATGTCAGCACGAGATACAAGTCATAAAGACCTTGCAGATAAAACAGTTTGCAGTAAGGAAGTCAAATAACATCCACCAACGAGAGTTACGGTGGCTGTACGAGAGTACATCTCTGTACTCTCTGTAACAAGAAAATAAACAAATAAATTAAAAAATTGCTTGAACCCAGAGAATACAGTGTATTTTCTCTGAATACAGAGAAAATATACTCTGTAAAGAGAGTGACCTCTGGTCGCCCTCACTGCTACACTCCCACCAGTGTCATGACAGTTTACAAATGCAATGGAAACATCAGGAACTTACCCTATGTGGTCTAAAATTGGGAGACATAAATAATCCACCCCTTGTTTAACATATAATCAAGAAATAAAGATAAAAATGTGCAACCAGCATCCCTCGGGGCTGCTCTGCCTATGGAGTAAGCCATTCTTTTATTTCTTTCCTTTCTTAATTAATTTTGTTTTTTACTTTACTGTATGGACGACCCTGAATTTTTTCTTGAGCAAAATCCAAGAATCCTCTTGTGGGGCTTGAATTGGAAGCTCTTTTTGATAAGAACTCTGCACATTTTCTTCTTTTACCCATTAAAAGAATCAGCTGAAGGGACAGGCACAGTGGCTCAAGTCTGTAATCCCAGCACTTTGAGAGGCTGTGGCGGGTGGATCACCAGGTCAAGAGATCGAGACCATCCTGGTCAACATGGTGAAACCCCGTCTCTACTAAAAATACAAAAAAATTAGCTGGGCGTTGTGGCACCTGCCTGTAATCCCAGCTACTCAGGAGGCTGAGGCAGGAGAATTGCCTGAACCCAGGAGGCAGAGGTTGCGGTGAGCCGAGATCGCGCCATTGCACTCCAGCCTGGGTAACAAGAGGGAAATTCCGTCTCAAAAAAAAAAAAAAAGAATCAGCTGAATTTGTCTCCAGTGGTCTAAATACAATTTTTCACAGGCTCCAGAACTTTGAACTATTCTCAGTCTGAGTCAACATACAACCTTATTTTATATCTCTTCCAAGAGCATGATGACTTCACAATAAAATATTCTCTGATCTAAAAATCTGATTTTTCACCCTTCATTTGCCATTCTCCTCCCACCTTCTCTCTAATCTTGTTTGCTGCTCCCTAGAAAAGAAAGCCCCTGTCTGCCTAAACTTTGCCATCCTTTCTTTTTTTTTCTCTCTCTTTTTTTTTTTTTTTTGAGACTGAGTTTCACTCTTGTTACCCAGGCTGGAGTGCAATGGCACAATCTCGGCTCACCGCAACCTCTGCCTCCTGGGATCAGGCAATTCTCCTGCCTCAGCCTCCTGAGTAGCTGGGATTACAGGCACGCGCCACCATGCCCAACTAATTTTTTTGTATTTTTAGTAGAGACGGGGTTTCACCATGTTGAACAGGATGGTCTCGATCTCTTGACCTCGTGATCCACCCGCCTCAGCCTCCCAAAGTGCTGGGATTACAGGCGTGAGCCACCGCACCCGGCCTTTTTCCTCTCTTTCATACCTATGACTCAACTTTGCCATCCTTAAAATTTTTTTTATTTATTTCTTTATTTTGAGACAAGGTCTTGGTTTATCGCCCGGGCTGGAATGCAGTGGTGCGACCTTGGCTCACTGCAACCTCCACCTCCAAGGTTCAAGCCATTCTGCCTCAGCCTCCTGAATAACTGGGATTACACATATATGCTGCCCACGCCCAGCTAATTTTGTATTTTTAGTAGAGATGGGGTTTCTTCATGTTGATCAGGCTAGTCTCAAAGTCCCGACCTCAGGTGATCTGCCCACCTCAGCCCCCAAAGTGTGAGCCACCACATCTGGCCCTTGAAGTTTTTAATAATTGGTACTTTTTCCTGTTGCAATACTCCTTTGGAATTTAATTTTTTTAAAACATAAATCTAACTTTGTTTTATATTCCAAAGCCCAGAAACTGCCTCAAAACAATAATAACTTCAACACCCGTAAGACCCTCTCAGTCCCCTTTCATCTTAATCTTAACTGCACTTAGCAGTAAGTCTTCTTCCATAACTGGGATGCGCAGGCTGAGACATCTGCAGGAAAGGCAACCCAGAAGAAAAACTAACTTTGCTTTTAAAAACCTTTTTGCGGCCAGGCGCAGTGGCTCAAGCCTGTAATCCCAGCACTTTGGGAGGCCGAGGCGGGTGGATCACGAGGTCAAGAGATCGAGACCATCCTGGTCAACATGGTGAAACCCCGTCTCTACTAAAAATACAAAAAATTAGCTGGGCATGGTGGCACGTGCCTGTAATCCCAGCTACTCAGGAGGCTGAGGCAGGAGAATTGCTTGAACCCAGGAGGCAGAGGTTGCGGTGAGCCGAGATCGCGCCATTGCACTCCAGCCTGGGTAACAAGAGCGAAACTCTGCCTCAAAAAAAAAAAAACAAACCTTTTTGCAAGCTCAATATTACCCTTAGCTATTAGTCACTGGGCTCAAGATTTAATTTCCATGTTAGTTACTGACTTGGTTTTGGAAACTATGTGTTTGAAAAATTCAGCAAAATTACTCAAACACAGTGTTCATGTAAGGGAAGAATATTTTAAGCTACTTATATTTTATACATCAGTAAGAAAAGCAAAAGTATCTATTCCTATCAGATAACATATTATTTTATTGCTTTTATTAAAAATCGTGTAGTAAATAATTAGTCATATGGGAACACTTCTAGGTGGTACCAAATTTCATCTCATAAAACTCAGAAATCAAGATAACAAGATGTGAACAGAGATATTCACTCTCAGAAATTTACCCTCCTAAAAGAATCTCTGTAACTCACCAATTATCTACCACATTTCTCATGAAAATATATTAACTGGCCGGGCGCAGTGGTTCATGCCTGTAATCCTAGCACTTTGGGAGGCCCAGGTGGGTGGATCACCCGAGGTCAGGAGTTCTAAGACCAGCCTGGCCATCAGGGTGAAACCCACCTTAAAAAATAAATAAATAAAAGGAAAAAACCCATCTTAAAAAAAAAGGCCGGGCGTGGTGGCTCACACCTGTAATCCAAGCACTTTGAAGGCCAAGGCGGGCGGATCACCTGAGGTTGGGGGTTCAAGACCAGCCTGGCCAACATGGTGAAACCCCATCTTAAAAAAAAAAAGAGGCTCAAGCCTGAAATCCCAGCATTTTTGGAGGCCGAGGCGGGTGGATCACGAGGTCCAGAGATCGAGACCATCCTGGTCAACATGGTGAAACCCGGTCTCTACTAAAAATACAAAAATTAGCTGGGCATGGTGGCACGCGCCTGTAATCCCAGATACTCGGGAGGCTGAGGCAGAAGTATTGCTTGAACCCAGGAGGCGGAGGTTGTGGTGAGCAGAGATCGCGCCATTGCCCTCCAGCCTGGGTAACAAGAGTGAAACTCCGTCTCAAAAAAAAAAAAAAAAAAAGTGAAACTCTGTCTCAAAAAGAAAAATGTCTACCTTTCAAGCCCTACGAATGTAATGCAATTTACAGCTAAAAAACTGAGGTCAAAATAAGTAAACAAATATTTTTCGACGTGACAAACCCAGGCAGTGCTGATCAAAAAACAGATGTGTCAGCCGGGCGCGGTGGCTCAAGCCTGAAATCCCAGCACTTTGGGAGGCCGAGGCGGGTGAATCACGAGATCAACAGAGACAATCCTGGTCAACATGGTGAAACCCCGTCTCTACTAAAAATACAAAATACCAGCTGGGCAGGGTGGCGCGTGCCTGTAACCCCAGCTACTCAGGAGGCTGAGGCAGGAGAATTGCCTGAACCCAGGAGGCGGAGGTTGCAGTGAGCCGAGATCGCGCCATTGCACTCCAGCCTGGGTAACAAGAGCAAAACTCTGTCTCAAAAAAAAAAAAAAAAAAAAAAAAGACACTGCTTAGGACACGTGAAAAATGTAGCAGAAAATCAATTTCCCATGGAGTGTGAAAATAATTAAATGGCAATTAGACTGAGGTGTGTCTAGTTCCTGGATTCGTACTTTTAAAGAAATCTAACTGAGGTGCATTTTTTAGTAAATAACTACACTGAGAGAAAATTCAGCCTTAACCAACTATAAACTGCCAATTAACCTCTGATTACATAACCAAGAAATGCTCAGCTTTATTGTACCAATTAAGAAACTACATAACTGTACCTAACCAGTTACTGAATTTTGTTTTCTTCATCATGCAGTTTATTTATTTGTATTTTTATTTCTGATGAATTTACAGAAACAGGCTTCAGAAGATGGGCATCGTGCAGTTTATAAAACTCTTTCCTTCAAGCCCAGTCCATGAACCACAAATGACAAACCACAGCAGGTGCTTGACAACTGTTGAATCACTCTTTGATTAAATTATTTAATGTTTTTAGGGTGACTCCCATACATTTTTAGCAGAAGAAAAGAGCTGGGAACCCCACGGACTAAAGCTCTTCACACTCATGGAACCCGCACCCGGAGTCAGGATTCTCCCCTGACGACCCTCCTGTGGTCCCTGCACAATCGGAGACGCGACGCTACGGGTGAAGAGCCGCCCAGGGATGGCTCCAGACCAGAGCACAGTCACTGGGCAGGGAAGAGGCAGTACACCGGGCCCGGCTGTAAGCGCAGCCGCCATCTTATGGCTGAAGGGGACTGAGGCCGAGCTGGGCAAGAACTCCGGGCGCAGACTGTGGAGCTGACTGCGGGGAGCCCTGAGTCCCGCCACAGCCACTTCCCACCGGTTCCAACCAGCCCCTTCCCCTGTCTCGGGGGTTCGACCCGGCACTCTCACCATTTCTAGGGCTCCAGGGGGTCCCGGCGTCATAGCTGTGGAACTCCCAATAGCTGCAGGTCGCAGAGCCACAGAGGCTGAGACTCTAGGAGCAGAAGACACAGAGAAGTGAAGATGAGACCCGGAGCTCCTGCAGCGGGAAACAAAGGCCGCGCCACATTCCGGAAACCTTCCGGTCCGCTCCAGCTGCGTGCGCGATTGGACGGTTCCCAGCCCAGCGTCGCTGATTGAATAACGTGTAAAACCCCGCCCTCTCAGGCCCTGAGTGACAGAAGATGAGATCAGACGCAGGACTGAGTGAAGAAAAAGTGACAGACAGCCTAGGCTGCAGCCTTTTCGGGCGGTACTTCCTTCCTGAGCTGGGCCTGGCCCACCACAGAGTATTAAATGCCTTTAAACTGGTGTGTAAAGTCGTATGCATTTACAAATAATATTTTACATGGCTCTTTACAAATAGAAAGAATATACCTGGGTTCAAACAATTCTCCTGCCTCAGCCTTCCGAGTAGCTGGTACTACAGGAGCACGCCACCATGCCCAGCTAATTTTTGTATATTTAGTAGAGACGGGATTTCACCTTGTTGACCAGGATGGTCTCAATCTCTTGACCTCGTGATCCACCCGCCTCGGCCTCCCAAAGTGCTGGGATTATAGGCGTGAGCCACCACGCCCGGCGCATCTTTTTTCTTATTGTTTTCAAAGACTTTCTTGATTTCTGACTTAATTTTACTTAATTTTTTTTTTTAACAGAGTCTCACTGTAAGGCTGGAGTGTGATGGCATGATCTCAACCCACTGCAACCTACGCCTCCCAGGTTCAAGTGTTTCTCCTGCCTCAGCCTCCTGAGTAGTTGGGACTACAGGCACCCACCATCACACCCAGTTAATTTTTGTGTTTTTAGTAGAGGCAGGGTTTCACTATGTTGGCCAGGCTGGTCTCAAACTTCTGACCTGGTTATCCACCAGCCTTGGCATCCCAAAGTGCTCAGATTACAGGCATAAGCCACCGCACCTGGCCCTTAATTTTACTATTTACCCAGAAGTCATTCGGGAGCATGTTGTTCAATTTCCATGTGGTTGTATAGTGTTGAGGTCTTTGTTTGTTTGCTTGTTTTTAGAGGAAGTTTCACTTTTTCGTTCAAGCTGGTGTGCAGTGGCCTGATCCGGGCTCATTACAACCTCTGTCTTCCAGTTTCAAGCAATTCTTCCACCTCAGCCTCCCGAGTAGCTGGGATTAGAGCTGCCCGCCACACACCCAGCTAATTCTTGTATTTTCAGTACAGACTGGATTTCACCATGTTGGCCAGGCTGGTCTCAAACTCCTAACCTTGTGATTCACTTGCCTTGGCTCCCAAAGTGCTGGGATTACAGTGGTGAGGCATCACACCAGGCCATAAATTCTAATTTGATTTCTCTGTGCTGAGAGAGATTGTTATAATTTTAGTTCTTTTGCATTTGCTGAGGAGTGTTTTACTTCAATTATGCGACCACTTTCAGGCTAACTGCCATGTGGAACTTAGAAGAATGCCTGTGTTGTTTTTGGCGGGAGAGTTCTGTAGATATCTGTCAGGTCCGCTTGACCCAGAGCTGAGTTCAAGTCCTAAATATCCTTGTTACTTTTTTTCACAGTTATCTGTCTAATATTGGCAGTGAGGTGTTAAAGTCTTCCACTATTATTTTGTGGCAGTCTAAGTCTTTTTGTAGGTCTCTAAGAATGTTTTTTATTTTTATTTTTTGTTGAGACGGAGTTTCGCTCATGTTACCCAGGCTGGAGTGCAATGGCGCGATCTCAGCTCACTGCAGCCTCCACCTCCTGGGTTCAGTCAATTCTCCTGCCTCAGCCTCCTGAGTAGCTGGGATTACAGGCACGTGCCACCATGTCCAGCTAATTTTTTGTATTTTTAGTAGAGACGGGGTTTCACCATGTTGACCAGGATGGTCTCCATCTCTTGACCTCATGATCCACCCGCCTTGGCCTCCCAAAGTGCTGGGATTACAGGTGTGAGCCACCACGCCTAGACACGCTAGAATGTGTTTTCTTTTAAATCTGGGTGCTCCTTGAATTGATTCTTTTAACGTTATGTAATGCTCTTGCTGTCTTTTTTGATCTTTGTTAGTTCAAAGTCTGTTTTGTCAGAAAGTATGGTTGCAACCCCTGCCTTTTCTTCTGCTTTTATTTGCTTGGTAAATTTTTCTTTTTTTTCAATTTTGAGCCTATTTGTGTCTTTGCATGTGAGATCGGCCTTTTTTTATTTTTATTTTTTTGAGACAAAGTTTCACTTTTGTTTTGGCTGGAGTGCTGGTGTGCAATGGTGTGATCTTGAATCATCACAACCTCCACCTCCTGGGTTCAAGTCATTCTCCTGCCTCAGCCTCCAAGTAACTAGGATTACAGATATGTACCCCACACCTGGCTAATTTTGTATTTTTGTTAGAGAGTCTTTAACTCCCAACCTCAGGTGATCTGCCTACCTTGGCCTCCCGAAGTGCTGGGATGACAGGTGTGAGCCACTGCACCTAGCCCATGAGATGGGTCTCTTAAATACAGCACAGCAATGAGTCTTGACTCTTATTCAACTTCCATTCTGGGTCTTTTAATTGGAGCATTTAGCCCATTTACATTTAAGGTTAATATTGTTTCGTGTGAATGTGATCCTGTCTTCATGGTGCTAGCTGGTTGTTTCGCAGCCTTGATGTTGTTTCACGGTGTCATTAGTCTTTGTACTTGAGTGTGTTTCTGCAGTGGCTGGTAATTTTCTTTTCCATATTTACTTCTTTTAAAACCTCTTTCGGCTGGGTGCGGTGGCTCACGCCTATAATCCCAGCCCTTTGGGAGGCCGAGGTGGGTGGATCACGAGGTCAAGAGATCGAGACCATCCTGGTCAACATGGTGAAACCCTGTCTCTACTAAAAATACAAAAAATTAGCTGGACATGGTGGCGCGTGCCTGTAATCCCAGCTACTCAGGAGGCTGAGGCAGCAGAATTGCCTGAACCCAGGAGGTGGAGGTTGTGGTGAGCCGAGATCGTGCCATTGCACTCCAGCCTGGGTAACTAGAGCAAAACTCCATCTCAAGAAAAAAATTAAATAAATAAATAAAATAAAATAAAACCTCTTTCAGGCTGGGCGCAGTGGCTCACGCCTATAATCCCAGCACTTTGGGAGGCCAATGTGGGTGGATCATGAGGTCAAGAGATCAAGACCATCCTGGTCAAAAAGGTGAAACCCCGTCTCTACTAAAAATACAAAAATTAGCTGGGCATGGTGGCACATGCCTGTAGTCCCAGCTACTCGGGAGGCTAAGGCAGGAGAATTGCTTGAACCCAGGAGGCGGAGGTTGCGGTGAGCCGCGATTGTGCCATTGCACTCCAGGCTGGGTAACAACGGCGAAACTCCGTCTCAAAAATAAAATTAAAAAATAAATAAATAAAACCTATTTCAAGGCAGGCCTCATGGTCATGTCAGGTTTCTTCAGCATTTGCTTGTTTGACAAGGATTTTATTTCTCCTTCACTTATAAAGCATAATTTTGCTGAATATGGAATTCTTAGTTGAAATCATTTTCTTTAAGAATGTTGAGGCGGGGCACAGTGGCTCAGGCCTGTAATCCTACCACTTTGGGAGGCCGAGGCGGGTGGATCACGAGGTCAAGAGATCAAGACCATCCTGGTCAACATGGTGAAACCCCATCTCTAGTAAAAATACAAAAAATTAGCTGGGCATGGTGGCACGTGCCTGTAATCCCAGCTACTCAGGAGGCTGAGGCAGGAGAATTGCCTGAACCCAGGAGGTGGAGGTTGCAGTGAGCCGAGATCATGCCATTGCACCCAGCCTGGGTAACGAGAGCAAAACTCCATCTCAAAAAAAAAAAAAAGAATGTTGAATATTGGTCCCCAATCTCTTTATGGCTTGTAGGGCTTCTGCTTAGAGATCCACTGTGATTCTGATGGGTTTCCCTTTGTAGGTAACCTGGTCTTTCTCTCTGGCTGTTGATGTTATTTTTTCCTGCTTTTCAACCTTGAAGAACCTGATGATTATGTGTATTGGGTTTGATTTTCTCATGAAATATCTTACTGAGGTTTTTGGATTTTCTGAATTTGTATGTTGGTCTGTATTGTTAAGTTGGAAAACTTCTTCTGAATGATACTCTGAAATACATTTTCCAACTTTGTTCCATTATCTTAATCTCTTTAAGATACCCTGATCAGTCATAGTTTCGGTCATTTTACATAATCCCATAATTACCAGAAATTTTGTTTATTTTTTAACTTTTTTTTTTTTTTTTTTGAGACGGAGTTTCGCTCTCGTTACCCAGGCTGGAGTGCAATGGCACGATTTCGGCTCACGGCAACCTCCGCCTCCTGGGTTCAGGCAATTCTCCTGCCTCAGCCTCATGAGTAGTAGTTGGGATTACAGGCACGCGCCACCATGCCCAACTAATTTTTTTGTATTTTTAGTAGAGACGGGGTTTCACCATGTTGACCAGGATGGTCTCGATCTCTCGACCTCGTGATCCACCCACCTCGGCCTCCCAAAGTGTTGGGATTACAGGCTTGAGCCACCGCGCCCGGCTGAATTTTTCAATTTAAATATATGTCTTCTCCCTTTTCCTTTGGTGGAAACTTTCTTTTCAGCGGCCGGAGCAGATTTGTATTTAGTGTTTCTGAGCCGAGCAGACCTCCTGTGAATTTCCTGCTTACTCTGCTTGCCGCCCCCGCTCCCATTACTCTGCGGAGGGGCGGCGGAGGTGCTGGCAAAGGTCACCGCGCGGAATCTGCCGCCGCCGTCGTCGCCGCTGCTGCGGCCTCCAGTCCCTCCCGCCGCCCCCGAGCCGGCAGCCCCGCCGCCCGCGCCGCCCGGGCCCGTGCAGTGATGGCAGAGGATCTCCCCCTGAGCGCCCTTCTTCCACGTGGAGGAGACGTGGTCTTGCAGACGCTGCAGGTGGGCTTCAGGCCCAGCGGCATGGTGGCCGGCTCGGGCGGCCCCCGCGGGCGCAGAGACACTGGAATGGTGGAGGCTGGCCCGGCTGCCCGCTGGTCGGTCTGCCACTCCGGCGATAGGAAGAGCTGTGAGGCCGATGGCACCGAGCTGCCCGTGAAGGGACTAGGCCTCGGCCGCTGTCCTCTGGAGGCGGGAAGCGGTTCCGCCAGCTCTGCCAGTTCAGCGCCCAGCACCAGCCCCGGGAGGCCGGAGACACTGGGAAGCAGGACGGACCTGGCCCAGGAATCAAATATTTTAAAAAAGTGTCAACTGCTCTGTGAAAAAGTGTTAAAATACTGCTTCTGAAATGTACAATAAAGGACAAAATTAGTTGGTCATGTTGTGAATTGAAGGGGAGAACTTGGCTTTGGGGAATGTTGGAAAGAAACTGGGAATTTAAGATTTTACTGCAAACCTGGCAAGTCCTGGCAAGGCTGAACAGAACAGAGAGTGGATTTTGACCCTCTTTGCCCACATTTGGAAAATGCAGGGGGACACCAGTGTCTTTGATCAAAGTTAAAATAATTAAATAGCAGGTAACTTGACTGGAGTGGCTCTAGTGGTCTAGGTTCCTATGTAACAACAACAACAAAATCAAGCTCAAATGCATTTTTTTAACTTACTACCTTAAGAAAAAAACAAAATTCAGGCTCAATCAACAATAAATCTCCAATTAATCTGATATATAACCAAAACATGTTCTCCCGACACAGCAAATGAGTTGACTACCTAACTGTACCCAGTGGATTATTTAATTTGCTTTGCTTCTTCACACGCCTTACAGAAGCCTTTTCTTCAACACGTTCTGGTGGCTCCAAAACCACAAGCTATTGGGACTGTGGCTCATGCCTGTAATCCCAGCACTATGGGAGGCAGGTGGATCACCTGCCTGGGAGCTCCAGACCAGTCTGACCAACATGGAGAAACCCCGTCTCTACTAAAAATACAAAATTAGCCGGGCATGGTGGTGCATGCCTGTAATCCCAGTTACTTGGGAGGCTGAGGCAGGAGTATTCCTTGAACCCAGGAGTTGAAAGTTGTGGTAAACTGGGATTACAGGCATGAGCCACTTCACCAAGCCAAGTTTTGTATTTTGTGAAGTGAAACAACTAGTTCCTGCCTCAACTGATTGCTCTCCCCTACAACCTTCAACCATTGTTCCTGTTCAGTCGTGTGAAAATTTCACCCCTAGACATTAGGTTTCTCAAGACCCCCACTCCTGTCACCATGTAATTTATCTCACCCTCCCTCTGCTTATAACCAATAACCCCCATCCTTATGATCATGCCTGTTTGTTATAGATGACCCCCACCCTTGTGGCCATGCATCCCTTGATGCCCTTCCTTTCCCTAAAATAGATTACCCACTTTTAACTAACAATTTTCCCCAACCTATATAACCAGCCCCCTTTCTTTTTTTTTTTTTTTTAAATAAAGACTGGGTTTCACCATGATGGCCAGGCTGGTCTTGAACTCCTGACCACAGGTGATCCACCCACCTCAGCCTACCAAAGTGCTAGGATTACAGGTGTGAGCCACTGTGCCTGGCTAACCAGCCCCTTTTCTTACTCCCCTTGCCTAACTCCTTTTTTGGACTTGGCCTGCTTGCACCCAAGCATGAAAGAAAATGGCCTCATTGTCCACACAAAGCCTGCCTGGTGGTCTCTTTATGGGAGTGAGGCACCTAACAGTGCGGCTGGATGTGAGTGCTGGAAAGGAGACAGCATATTTGTCATAGGAGATTATGAGCTGACCAGATCCCTTTTGACAGCCCCCCAGGACAAGTGGGGGCTGGTGCTGCATTGAATGATGCCCCCTAGAAAATGCGTTTGCACTGGCTTAATAAATATGCAATGCAGAGGCCTACACGAAGACACATGAACGGCGTATGCAAACATCAGCTTGCAGCTGGGAAACAGGTGCCTCTCAGGACCCACATTCTCTCCAGCAAGTGTGGAATGTGTCCATGCACATGAGTGTATAGATCTGTCCTTCTTAACTTGTACACAATTCCAGGTCAGCTCTGAGTGAATGATGTGTAGATGGGATTTCTCAGGTTTCTCAGGTCATTTGTATGTTTCATATTATCGCTGCTGTTTTGCTGCTACTACCCGCAGTCCCGACCTGGTTCAAAGTTCAGGATTTAGGTCAAAAAGATGGAGGGCTTTCTTGGGTTATGGAATGGGACGTCCGAGATCTGTGGTAGGGCTGGCAGTTCGGGTACCCTTGACTTTTGTGGCAGGATGTGGTTTTAATTGTGATTGACCTGGCCTGGTTGTAGCTCTGGGTGATGAAAAGGGAGTCAGCAGTGGTAGTCTCCCAGCATTCATGTGCTCAGGTCTGGCCTGCCTGCCCTCAGGCCCAGCAAAGGCACCACCACAGGCACAATTACCCTGAGAATCGCTGCTTCACACAGAATGTTTGAGGAGCCTTTCTAAGATGAATACATTTGGCCAACATAATCATAATTCATGCTTATCCATTCCCAGCCCCTGCTGTCCCTGCCATTCCTTTTTTTGCGGGTGGGGGGACGGAGTTTCGCTCTTGTTACCCAGGCTGGAGTGCAATGGCGCGATCTCGGCTCACCGCAACCTCCGCCTCCTGGGTTCAAGCGATTCTCCTACCTCAGCCTCCCGAGTAGCTGGGATTACAGGCGCGCCCCAACATGCCCGGCTAATATTTTTAGTGGAGACGGGGTTTCACCATGTTGAACAGGATAGTCTCGATCTCTAGACCTCGTGATCCACCAGCCTCGGCCTCCCAAAGTGCTGGGATTACAGGCGTGAGCCACCGCGCCCGGCTGTTCCTGCCATTCCTAATGGCCATCTGATGATATGGTCAGCATTAGGGTACAACATGGTGAGAGAGGGGCTCAGGGATGGGATGAAGTTCCTTCCTGCATTATCAAAATGATTAAAAAGTTGTTAAAAAGGTGTCCAATTTTTTTTTGCCTTTAAATAGCTACTAAGATGTATTATACAAGCCGACCCAAGTAAGGGAAAGAGCAAGTGCATTTCAAGCCTCAGCTCGCTTCTTGATTAGCTGTAATTCTCTGGGAACAGGACTGCCTGTTTGAGCCTGTTTTTCCTGTCCGTAAAATGCGCTAATGCTGGGGAAGGTGCGGCCAGGAGGTGGGTCTTGAAGGTTTATCCAATCGTGGCGCAGGCGCGGGTACCGCCCCATTAGTCGCCCAATTGGAGAGGAGGGCGTGGCTTCCCGCATTTGGCTGGGCCTTCGTCTCTCGCTCCCGCCAGAGCTTGGGATCCATCTCCACCGTTCTGCGTCCTCCACCTCTGGAGCCTCCAGTGACTGTCACAGCCTCTGTTGCCCTGTGATCTGCAGGTCCTGGGAGAGGCACAGCTAAGATGCCAGGACATCCTGGAAGCTGGAAAACGGTGGGTGTGCAGGGTTGGACAACCCGACAGGGGAGAGCCGTCTGGACCCGCCTCCACACAGTCCGCTTTCCAGTGGCCGACCTGAGTCCCCGCTGGCGCAGCTCCGCCCCAGGCCCCTCTGGCCGCAAGATGGCGGCTGGGCCCGCAGCCCCGCGTCCCGCCTGTCCCTGCGCGGCGCCCTGTCTGGAGCTCTCTGGGCAGCTCCGCACCCGCTTCCCCGAGTATTTCCCAGATTGTTCATGGATGACAGGCGGGTCATCAGGGCAGAATTTCCACTCTGTGTGTGAGTGGGAGGGGCTGCGGTTCGTGGGGTCTTAAGTCTTTCATGATCATTATTGTTTGTGTGTGTGTGTGTGTGTGTGTGTGTGTCTGACGGAGTCTCGCTCTTGTCGCCCAGGTTGGAGTGCAGTGGCGCGATCCTGGCTCACTGCCACCTCCGACTGCCGGGCTCAAGCGATTCTCGTGCCTCAGCCTCCAGAGTATCTGGGATTACAGGCACCCGCCACCGCGCCCGGCTAATTTTTTTTTTTTTTTTTTGAGACGGAGTTTCGCTCTTGTTACCCAGGCTGGAGTGCAATGGCGCAATCTCGGCTCACCGCAACCTCCGCCTCCTGGGCTCAGGCAATTTTCCTGCCTCAGCCTCCCGAGTAGCTGGGATTACAGGCACGCGCCACCATGCCCAGCTAATTTTTTGTATTTTTAGTAGAGACGGGGTTTCACCATGTTGACCTGGATGGTCTCAATCTCTTGACCTTGTGATCCACCCGTCTCGGCCTCCCAAAGTGTTGAGATTACAGGCGTGAGCCACCGCGCCCCGCCAGAAAGAAATTTCTGTACCATCCTTTTAATATTTATTCATTGCATTTTCTCATTAGAGCCTATTATTGATTGTAATGCATTTCTCTGCGAAATTTTGCTGCCATTCATTGAATGCCAATGATTCAGAATGCCTGCTTTGCATGAGTACACGCAGCTAACAACTGTAGATATCCAAAGAATTATTTTTTATAGTCTATCTATGTTGTATTCAGCATTTTATGCATTAAAATCTTTCTTGGCCAGGCGTGGTGGCTCATTCCTGTAATCCCAGCACTTTGGGTGGCGAAGGTGGGTGGATCACCTAAGGTCAGGAGTTGGAGACCAGTGAAACCCTGTCTGTACTAAAAAAAAATAGCCAGGACTGTTGGTGGGTGCCTGTAATCCCAACTACTTGGGAGGCTGAGTCAGGAGCATTTCAGTAGGCGGAGGTTGCAGTGAGCTGCAATTGCGCCACTGCACTTCCAGCTTGGATATATTGTTGTATATAATCTATACAGCAAACCCCCATGACACAAGTATACCTGTGTCACCAACCTGCACTTTTACCCTTGAACTTAAAAGTTTTTAGAAAGACCTATTTGTACATTTTAAAGAGGAATCATTGAGTATTTTTCAAAGATAGTTTTGTTTATAAAATGTAATCTTTCACTTGTCCAGTAGATACTCTTCATATACTGATTGATTGATTGATTCATTCATTGGAGACAGACACTGTCTCCGAGGCGATTCATTCATTCATTGGAGACAGACACTGTCTCCCAGCCTGGAGTGCCGTGGTGCAATCTCATCTTCTGCAACCTTGGCCGCCCAGGTTCAAGTGATTCTCCTGCCTCTGCTCCTGAGTAGGTGGGATTATGTCCATGCCGCAACACCCGGCTAATTTTTTATTAGTAGTAAAGACGGAGTTTCACCATGTTGGCAAGGCTCACCAGCCCAGATTCACAATGCCCAGCCAGAAGCTCTAACTTAATTTGATCCCATTTGTTAATTTTTGCTTTTGTTGCAATTGCTTTGGCATCTTTGTCATGAAGTCTTTGCCTGTGCCTATATCCTGAATGGTATTGCCTAGGTTGTCTTTCAAGGTTTGGTTTTTGTTTTGTTTTGTTTTTGGAGATGGAGTTTCACTCTTGTTCCCCAGGCTGGCGTGCATGGCAAGATCTCCACTCACCGCAACCTCTGGTCCTAGGTTCAAGTGATTCTTCTGTCTTAGCCTCCCAAGTAGCTGGGATTACAGGTTCCTGCCTCCGCACCCAGCTAATTTTTGTATTTTCAGTAGAGACAGGGTTTCACCATGTTGGCCAGGCTGGTCTTGAACTCCTGACCTCAGGTGATCTGTCTCCTCAGCCTCTGAAAATGCTGGGATTATAGGTGTGAGCCACCATGCCCGGCCCTCCATTAAAGTCTTTAATCCATCTTGAGTTCATTTTTGTATTTAGTGTAAGAAAGGGGTCCAGGTTCAATTTCTAGTCAGCCGGTTCTCCCAGTACAATTTATTGAAAATTCTTTCCACATTGCTTTTTTTTGTCAGCTTTGTCAAAGGTCATATGGTTGTAGGTGTGAGGCTTGATTTCGGGCCCTCTATTCTGTTCCATTGATCTGTTTCTGTTCTTGTACCAGTACCATGCTGTTCTGGTTACTGTAGCTCTGTAATATAGCTGGAAGCTGAGTAGCAAGATGCTTCCAGCTTTGTTTTTCTTTTTTTTAGGGAGGATGGAGTTTTGCTGTTGTTACCCAGGCTGTAGTGCAATGGCACGATCTCGGCTCTCTGTGACCTCCACTTCCTGGGTCCAAGCGATCCTCCTGCCTTGGCCTCCTGAATAGCTGGGATTACAGGCATGCACCACCATGCCTGGCTAATTTTATATTTTTAGTAGCGACGGGGTTTCTCCATATTGGTTAGGCTGGTCTTGAACTCTCTACCTCAGGTGATCCACTTGCCTCAACCTCCCAAAGTGCTGGGATTACAGGTGTGAGTCACCATGCGCAGCCAGCTTTATTATTTTTGCTCAGGATTGCCTTGGCTATTTAGGCTCTTTTGGTTTCCTTTTTTTCTTTCCATTG